AAAATGGGACTCTGTCTCAGAATAGACAAAGAGAAAGTAATGTTGTAAGAGATTCCAGAGTACAAAGAACATTAAAAAGAAAAAGGTGAGTTAACATTTCTACTTTATAAATTTCCTTACTAGTCAGATGTTGGATAATCTCTAGAAGAAACTAATTTCAGAATGAATAACAATGCTATATATAACAAATATTTCCAACATGAATTAACATAGATTAGTATTCCACATTCCAGTTATAGGTGCAGTGATAAGGGCCAGAGAAGTTTTGTTGTGAAAGAAGAAGACGACTATAGAGTAACTAAGTGGAGTGTTTTGGGTCATAGAATATTTGTTGAAATTACCTTACTCTGGATTAGGATGGAGGAAATTTTACAGAACACATTAGGAGAGGGCATGGTTGTGTCCCCATGCAATTTTATTAATAGACACTGTAACATAAATTTTATATAATTTTAATAGGCCAGGAAATGCTCTCCTTTTGATTAACTTTTCAAGAACTGAAAACTAGAAAATCCAATCTTTGCTTGCAGTCTATAGCCCAACTTTTGCTCAAGGTTCATACAAAATGAGACAGGGAACCGGATTCCACTCACATGCCTTAATTTGAGACCATGAATGAACGAAGAAGGTAATTTTTTTCAGTTGCCCAACTTGTTTTCCGGTGTTCTTCGTTTGGCTGGGCCTTTTCAATGAGGAAATTCTTCCTCGTAGTTAAGGAGGCACTGACAGACTACACCTTACTTTAATAACTATGGAAAGAGGACAATAATTTTTTCAGACACAAAATGTTAGCTGCCAGCTCCACATTTTGATTTAAACGTGAGCGAAGCCAAAGCAGAAACCCTGGTCAGAGGACCAGAAGACAGGCAATGGACTGTTCGTCTCTCTGTGAGAACTGATCAACTGAGACACTATGGTCCTCCTGCTGAGAGATATTTGTACCCTATGTGAATTTGTACTGCTGTGATTTGGTGTAATAAAAAGCTGAACAGCCAATAACTTGGCAGGAGGTATAAGCAGAATTTCGAGGAGGAGAAAGAAGGAGGAGGAATCTAGGAATGCAGAACAAGCTAGAAGACATGGAGAGGAAGCAAGAAGTGCAAGATGGAAGAGAGATAACCCCTGTGATAGTACAAAGAATACTATAAATGGTTTAAGTTACAAGAGCTAGTCAGGAACAAGCCTAAACTATAGGCTGAGCTTTCATAATTAATAAGAAACCTCCATGTTATTATTTGGAACCTGGATGGCAGGAGAGAAAAACACCCATTAAGTCTTCCAGCTTTGAATCACCACCTATGTGATTATTAAACAGGACCATGGCCACAAACGCAAACTGGAGATTAACTTTATATGCCCACATGACTGAGCCAGGGAACCCGTTGTGCCCAATCCAATGTTTTGTCAAATTTCTAAAGAGGTATTTGTTGTATAGATAATTTTAATGTCATTCACTTTAAATGCACTTTGAATATATCATTTTCAATATGTGGGTATGGTGGGAGAGCCTCATTTAATCAGTTAAAGACATAAAGAACAAAGAGAACAAGGCTGAATACTGAGAGTCACTAACGAAAAGATTCTACCCCACAGTGCCTTAAGTGTTATTAGGCAATGCAGGTCTTCCATGTCTACAGCTGCTCAATTCAATTCAATCTCTCAGTTTCTCTTAGTGGTTTAAAGAAACAGATAGATAGATAGATAGATAGATAGATAGATAGATAGATAGATAGATAGATAGATGATAGACATAATAGACAAACATGTCATTTATGTTTCCTAAGCCAGAATTATGTCAAAAATAAATAATATTCTTTTATAATTTTGAATTAGATTTCTCCACATCTGACAGTATCAACCCTGACTATTCCATTTGTAAAGACTGTGGATCTGCCTTTTAAGAAAGAAAAACATCTTTTGTTTGATCTTTGTTTCATGCAACTGAGAGGTCCTTGATTGGTGTACAAGTGTTTCAAGCTAAAGAAAAAAATAACTAATAGTGTACTGCTCCTTAGGAAGTAATTCTTATAACCACTGAAGTACACACACACATAAACACACACACACACACACACACACACACAAAACCTGTCACAAGAACAAAGAAAAACATATTCGCATGCACCTATAGAAACACAGTTCTTATGTTTGAGGGTACCAAAGTTTCTAACTTAGCAGGGCACAAAGTACTAGTCTTCCATGCACCAAAATTGTTTCTATTCCCTGCATTTCATAAGTAACGTTTTATTCTCCCCAGTTGATCAGAGAGCGTACTTGGAGAAAAATCTGTTGATATTTCCCTTGCTGAGTTTTAAATAGCCTGAAAAGGTGTGATATATCTTTTGTAGTGAGTGCTTTAGAGGGAAAAGCATTGCTTTTAAATCTTATGCCTGCCCCAAATGCAATGTGAAATAAATTCCACTGTGAATGAGCCCCTGCCACGTCTCGAAACTGAATTGCAATATGCAAGGTTTCTCCGAGACAGGCCATTTTTTTGTGTGCTCTTAAAAGCTGCAAAACTAAGAGGATTGATAAATTTTAAATCTCCATAGCAGAGTTTGTGTAAAGCAGTGTGCTTACATATGCATGCCATTTTAGCCACAAAACACGTGGGCTGTTCAGACTGAGATTTCTTGGGGCTTGGTTTCATTTCAATTAGCAGGGTGCATTTTATTCCACTTGGAAAAGTTGTGAATAGCGGTCATAGTAATGATACCAACAGCCTCAGATTTGTGCTCTCAAAGTTTGTATTAGTCTCTGTAATGAATCCAGTTACAGAGGGTGGTGGCTGGAGTAGTATTCATTTCATTGTCAGCATGTCCCTAACTATCAACGATACAACTAAAATCCCATCTCAACTAAATGCTTGGCTGAAGACCCACTGCTAATAGAAAGAGAAACACCAGTTTCTTTTATGATTTGCTGATTACGCTGTGAATGGATCACTTTGAACCATACCTCCAAATCCTTTCCGGATTCACCAGGACTAAAATTAAATGTGTCAGCAATTATTTGCTCAACACACCCTTCACACCTGGCACCTCCTCAGTGTTTTGTACATTATTTCCATAGTAATCTATTACTCTTCCAAATTGAAGATCGGAGGTTTCAAGACAGTGAACCCAATTAACTGAGCTAAGGTGGCAAAGCTCTTAAAGGAGCCAGCTTCAAACCCAGAGCCGAGTTGTCTTCCTTGTCCTACTCTGTCTCTATTGCCAACATTGAGGCTGTGGAGTGGAGCATCAAAATAGATACTCTGGCTTCTTTTCTTCTTCCGTATCTCTAACCAGTCCACAAACTTCTAAAGCTTCCTCTGTAGCCTGAGTAATTGACCTCCCAGAGGCATGCCACCTGCAGTCAAATGAAGAAAACATTCCCCACTTGAAGCCACCTGTGCTCCTCGAGCGGGGTTCCACAGCTCCGCAGAGAGGCCACCCGTGCACAAAAGAGACACTGCGGTTCACGGCTGTGACTTGCAAATGTTGGCTCTCAATATCAGTCATGTAGTCCAGAACAGCTGCTGTGCATGACCAATATGAATCGAAATATGCAAAACGTGAGGCTGAACATACAAGCTTGCCGACGCAAATGTGAATGCAAATCGAGGCCACATAACCAGGAATTGTGCCAAGAAGCATGAGTATCGAGAACTGCACAGTTGCTCGCCCTGTGGATGCAAATGTAAACATTGTGGATTCTGAAGAAGATACAGTCACGTCTTGTTTAAAAGGCTCCAGGAGTGGTAGATGCAGCAAGGATGCTTTGTTCAGCCACATAGTCATCACTGATATTGCAAACCAAACTGTACCTAGAGTGTTGGGGATGAGGTAGCCCAGTGATGTGGCTGCTGAAAAGTTTTGTTCTCCTTAATTTCATTGGCTTCCAAAAATCGTTCATTTGAATCATTAGACTTGATAGGTTTTTCTATTTTCCTTTGCAGATTACCAGTTGGAGGCCACTGAATCTGACTAAGCAATTTCACAGGACAAAATGACAGGACAGAAAACACAATCCAAGGGCCACCTAGAGCAGTGGTTCTCAGCCTTCCTAATGCTGCGACCCTTGAGTACAGTTCCTCATGAGGTGGTGACTCCCAAACATAAAACAGTTAGTTGGTGCTGCCTTAAAACTGTAATTTTGCTACTGTTATGAATCATAATGCAAGTATCTGCTCTGTGCTATATCTAATATGTGATCCCTGTGGAAGGATCATTTGATGTCCCCAAAGATTTATGACCCACAGGTTGAGAACCTCTGATCTAGAGGAAGAGAACCGATAGAATGTAAATATATGTACTAATATACACATGTACTAATATATGTACTATACACACATAAATATCTATATACATACATACACACACACATATATATGTGTATATATAAAATAGTAAAGGGGAATTTGTTAGAATGGCTTATCACCAATAAGAGCTGGGTAGTAACAGTGGCTGTGGGCACACCAGAGAAATTGAGAATGCTAGAGTGTTCAATCCATGAAGCCTAGTATTCCAATTCTGGTGCTGAAAATCCAGAAGATTCTGAGGAAGCTGTTGATCCTAAGTCAATGTCAGAAAGCACAAAGCTAGACTCTATCATCAGAAAAGGATGGAAAGAACAACAGTAACTGTGGCTGTGGAAGGGTTGCATTGTATCACCAAGCAAGAACTGATTTTCTCTTTGAATTCGTTGTGTTTGGTCACTGCCAAAGATGCCACCCTCTCTTGGGGAAGGGCTTCTTCCTCACACATGAACCCAGGGGCCTGTCTCTTCATTGAATCCAGAGCCCAATGAAGTTGACAATCAAGATTATCCTTAACAAGGTTAAATTTCCCCATCTATCTTCCACCTGTAATTGTGGCAAAATGCATGTGGCATGTCCTCTGCCGTGTTCTATTTTTCAGTGGAGAATTCCATGGAGCAAACAGAACAGAATCACATTGTGCTTCATTGCTGCCCTCACAACCAAGAACTTCTTGATCTTTGTAGATTAAACTCTATGCCCAACATGCAGCTCCCATTTTATCTCTATCTCCATGAATAGTCTAAGTACCTCACAAAAGTGAGATAATCTAGTTCTTCCTTTGTTATACATCTGCCTTATTCAGCTTAGCATAGTGTCCTCCACGTTCATTTAGATGGTAATATGTATCGGAATTACTCTCCTCTATAAAGTTACACAGTCTTCCAAGGATACAGTTGCATACATGGATGCCTCAGGTCATTCCACCTTTTCTGTTGTGAAGAGGGCTGGGTAAGTATCTCTTTGAGGACTCAATTCTCTAGGGCATATGCTAAGAAACTACTGATGCATCCATGATTTTGATTTTAGCTGTGATGAACTGACATACTGTTGACACAGCCCCTCTGTCACCAATACTGCCCAAGTGCTTCAATTGTTACTCTGAGTAGTCATTCCAGTCGTGAACCTCCTTGCCATTTGATTTCCCTGACAATGAGTGAAGCCAGGTATCATTTTCTGTGCTCAATGGGTCTTTTCATATCTTTTTTGGATAAATGTCATGTAATTGTAATATTTTTTTGAATCAGGTTGTTTAGTATTTTGCTGTTAAGTATGAATAATTTAAATACTTTAACTCAGTCTGTGTGGTTTATTTGTCTGTTTTGGACACAGTTTCACTATTTTTTAGACTGGTATTGGTTTCCAATACTCCTGAATCATCCTGCCTTCACCTTCCCTACTGCTGAGATTGACTTGTGTCCTGCCTTTTTAATGGTTGGTCAAATCCTTTGAGACCCAAACTTTGAAATTTTAATATGGTCCAGCTATGTATGCTTCCTTTTGTTGTCTCTGTTTTGGGGCCTTGTATCGAAAGAAACCTTTATTAAATCCAGTATGATAAAGCTACTGTCCCAATTTTTTCTTTTGAAAATTTAATGATTTTAGCTTTTATGCTGAGATCTTCAATTCATTTGAGGTTAATTTTTTTTTTACTTGGGATAAGGCAAAGATCTGGTTACATTCTTTCGTGTGAGGCATATGTGTGTATGTGTGTGTACATACATATATGTGTGTATCTATATATGCATATGCTGTGTACATGTATATGTATGTATGAGTGTGTGTATAAGTGTGTGTGTGTGTGTGTGTGTGTGTGTGTGTGTGTGTGTATGTGCATGCACCTTACTGTGGAGACTGCCACATTCCCTACAGTACTGTCTGGTGAAATAGTGAGTACAGAGCCACTACCCTAGCAAAAACAGGAGGATTATTTTCCTCTGAGATTTTGGCCACACCATTTTATTTAACAACTAATGTGTGCAACTTTGCTTTGTGGATGCTTCAAAAGAACATGCCCCATCATTAATTAGCACACGGCTGCAATTTATTTGAATGGCCCTTCAAAAGTAAGACACCCTTACCCACAGACAAAATTTCAGGCAGCCCTGAAGAAAAGATACTTATTACAATCATGAAGTTATGCTTCATGTAGGTATCTGCTCCAAACCATTGAATTTTCCAAAATATGAGTCTGGGAAACTCAAGTACTGAGAACACAAAAGTCACTATGGGAAACAATACACCCAGCTAGTGCATCCCATGTTCTTAAGCATGCATAGGACGGGACTCTGCTCTTTGGCTGGATGCCACAACACTTACCATAGAAAACGTCTACTCAGCTAATATGAGTTCTAGTCTACTTGGTAACAGAGAATGTCCCAGGGAGTTAACAGGGCTGCTGGAAATCCTGCGTTTATGGATTTATTTCTATTTGTGCTAACATGCAAGTATGCATAAGAAATCCAGCAACTCTAAAATGCTGGTAAGATCCAGGCCTCTGAGAATTGAAGGCTGGAGGTGAGCATGCACATGAGGTGAGACCGAGTTAAAGGCAGCCTTGTAGCAGCAACCTGCAGGTACTTTCTTCTGATTTTTCTGCCAAACCTCTCGGATGATTGTCCAAGTAGCCTGGCTAATTTTATCTAGGAAAACTATGGTTTTATTAGTTACTTTTTCCATCTCTGTAAGGAAGTGCTCGGTAGAAACAAATAAACAGAAGATTTATTTTGGCCTCTGGTTTCAGAAAATTCACTCCCTATAGGATTGGTCCCATGAACTTGAGAAGAACATCACGGTAGGGCAGGGTGTCAACTGCTCACATTGTGACAGGTGGGATGTAGACAGAAAGACAGGAAATGGATAGCAATGATGAACCCTTAATCACCCACCCTCAAGGATGTACTTTTTCCAGTACGGTCAGACTTCCAAGGATTTCACAGCCTACCCTGGTGGTAGAATGAACTGGAAGCCAAGTATTCAACACATGAGTCAAAGGCAGAGTTTTCATATTCAAACCATAGCAATAGGGTTTTGTACTTATTTTCTATCAATTTTTTAATATTTTCTGTATCTTTATGTATTAGTGTAATAAATCTTTGTTGTAAAAGGAAGGAGCGGTGGGCTGTGTTCCCACCCAGATCCCGGCTAGCTTACCCCCGAAATAATTACATGGAAACTGTATTCTTTTAAACACTGCCTGGCCCATTATCTGTAGCCTCTTATTGGCTAACTCTTACATATTGATCTAACCCATTTTTAATAATTTGTGTAGCACCACCGGGAAGGATCTTAACCTGCATCCATCTTGGAGAGGAGAGCTATAGCGTCTGCCTCATTGCCTTCTTCCCAGCATTCAGTACTGTCTTCCCCACCTATCTATGTTCTGACCTATCAGGCCAGGCAGTTTTCTTTATTAATTAACCAATGAAAGTAACAAAGAGACAGAAGACCCTCCTCCATCACTTTGTACTAAAATGAAATTTTATCTTTACATATGTCTCTTTGTTTCACTTTTCTTTCTTCTATGTTTAGATCAGAATTCACGACATTCTTTTTGACTCCTTCAACAAACCAGACTGTGCTGACAAGTGCTGTTGTGGATTGAATTGTATCCTCCAAAACACCGGGTGTTCTTGTCTCACTCCTGTCTTCATTTATGAATGGGATCTTTTAAGAAGTAAGTCAAGATGCAAGCCTGCAGGGTTGTCAGATGGGCCCTAATCTAAAGGATTTGTCATCCCTAGAAGAATAGGGAAAATCTGAACTAAATAAACATACAGAGGAGATGAGTTTACTGCAATGGAGACAGAGACTGGAGCAAAGAATCTACAAACCAGGGAAGACCAAGGGTTGACAGCAAGAGTCTGAAGAGAGAAAGGCCTTCAGAGAGAGGAGTATTCTGGCTGGGGCTTGATTTCTTACTTCTAGACTCCCCAACAGTGGCAGATATTACATTTTTACTCTTTTAAGCCACTAATATTATAGAAAAATTTTCAAATATAATGTGTACACACACTCACCTGTGAATGCACAAGTAGGACACAAGCATCAGGTGCCCTGTAGCAGTAGTTATAGGTGGTTGAGAGCCACCTGACTTCTGCACTAGGAGATGAACTCTAGTCTTCTAAAAGGGGAATCTTTGCTCTCAGCTGTAGCGCTTCTCTCCAACTTGGTTGTGGTCATCTCTTACAGAAGTTTTGAAATGTTTCCCACGTGCACCTTTCATTCCATTCTAGAGAACAAGTTTTTAATGAAATGTATAGTACGTTTAATTTTCTCATACTGTGGGATATAAAAATTGTTGCCATATTTGTATTAGATCACAGAGGTAGAAAAAAACTGATTTAAAAACAAACAGAAACAAACCAATCTACTTGTCTAGTGCTCTTTGTCTGCGGACACTCTTACAAATAGTTGGAGCAGCAAAATGTTGGAACTAATACTGCAATAATAAAATAATGTGAAATTCTTTTTAATTCTTTCATATTATTTTCCTGTATTAATAGTCTTAGCTGCAATCAGAAAATTTGTTTAGGGCACCAGGAACCAGCACTTCATTGTTCTGAATGCAGCTCACTCCATTTCTAATTAGTTCCATGAATACATTTTTATAACACAACTCATAATTCTGTCTAAGCTATCTCTCATAGCTATTGCAGTGTCGCAAGTGCATTCAACTGGCTTTGTCAACTCTTTACTCTATCAAACGTAACTTCCTTCTTTCCTTCCTTCCTTCCTCCTTTCTTTCCTTTTTCTTCCTTTCTTTCACTTTCCCATTCTCAGAATCACCCTTCACGCAAAGATACTTATGATCATCTAGAGACATGTGCAAATGTTTGTCCTTGAGTTGTGCGAGCAGATGTCACGTAGCTCATGCTGGCCTCAATCTCATGCTAGTGAGAATGGCCTGGAAATTCTGATCCTCCTGCCTCACACCATGGCTGTTGGTTTTAGTTCGTGCTGAAACAAAAACATAGGGCTTTGTGCGTGGTAAACAAGCACTCTACCTGCTAAATACTCTAACTGCTAAACTAAATGTCCCTCTCTCTCTTAATTTGCTAATAAAACAAAAAAAAAGTTTTATTTGAAACCAGCGGTTGGGGACAAAGATTTGATCGCACAAAGGGGGCCTTAGGTGTAATCACCAATGGTTACCCCTGCACCTCAGGGGCAATGGGAAAACTATAACAACAATTAAAGATTTAGATTTGGCATATGTAGCACCTAACTGTGCAGATTTCTTATAGCAGTTCCTTGATTGTTCAGTTCTAGTTTGATAAATTCTCAAAAAGGTTTATATACACTTAGTGGTCATGCTCTCTGTTACATAGCGTCTTCAGTGTTGCTGTCAGGAATAAAGAGCAAGGATTGATGACAAGGAATGCCAATAGTACATATGTAAAGACAAAAAAGAGGAGGCAGAGAAGTTCCTTGCTCCATAAATTTTGTGTAATTAATTGCACACATGCTCATTAATATTTTGTTTTTTCTTCACTGCTCTTATTTATGACTTATTTTAGCAGATTAAATGTAATTGTTCAACTATATATGTGTGAGAGAAATATATATATATGGCATATTTTAAATAAATTATGGCTTCTAGTAAGGCACTGATTAGAACACATGAATAATTATGTACCTAAAAGTACATATAGTGTCAGCTTTTCAAGTGCAGACAAGAATCTTTGCTCTGTAAATATGCAATATACTAAAGTATATTATATATAGTAATTATTCGGTTATATTTAGAGAAGACAGAAGGCTCCGACCAACTGGATTAAACTTAATGAGAGAAATAGAACATAATTTGGTCCTGATGGATTAGAAATACAGAAGGAGAAAACTAGGAAAGCGAGCCTCCAAATCTATAAAGAAACTGTTCTGGAGGTGGTTACTGCTGAATGGGAACATGGGGTTTTGTGCGAATGTGTACAGTTACAGTGAGTTAATCTATAAATGCCTTATGGAAGTTCCCATTAGAGACACATAAGTCCTAGACAGCAAGCACAGCTTTCTAAGTGGCAGGTTAGACATATGTGTTTGTCCCCAGTTTGCACTAAGTCTTCAATGTGATGAAAGCACAGAGGGCTACAATAAGGAATAAACTAAAACCATTAGAGAGGCAGTGATGAGGATGGAGGGTCAGGACTAAGGAAAAAGTGATTTCAGCAGATGTCGCAGATGTCTCAAAGTAAGTGAGGCAGAAGCAGCCCAGACTGCAGCTTCTGTTCTGTGTAGACTCTGGAAGAGGGTGGGACCCTGTCCACCTGTGAAGTTTTGATGGAGCCCTGGGTACATTTAATCATGATATTGAGACAAATGTGAACCCCGGGGGGGGGGGAGGATTAATTGAATCAGCCATATATCTTTTGATCCTTCTCAAACGTGGAAAGTACTATAGAAGCTACCACAGTCCCTGTGACAAACCCTTCACCGAGGGAAATGAAGAGGTTGAAAGCTGATATCCCTCACATGATGCTGATGATCTGAAGAAAAATAAAAAACAAAAAAAAATCTCTTGTCTCACTTTTGATCTGACAGACAACTCCTCGATCTACTCGTGACAAACGGAAAAGGAAAATATTCCATCCAGCATGGACCTTAATATACCTACATGTGGTAGCTGTCAGCTGTGTGTGAACCTGTCCAGCAAAGAGCAGCCCTTGTACTGCAAATGTTGGTTATGCAGCATCTGTGTAGAATGTCTGAGCAACACTCCTGTTGATTACAATAAAATTAATTGCAAATTGTTGATATGCAACTGGAATCTGAATTTTCTGGACTAAGCATTTGCACAAGTTCCAGAGCAGGAAAATTAAGAAACTGTCTTGAACCCTCATTAGTAGGGAGTCCAAGAGGTGTCAAAGGCAGCATAGGTGAATTCACCCTGGAAGCTATGAGCACCCATCCTCCAGATGTCATCAATTCTTTAGCTCCTAAGCTTATAGATTTCCTGAATTCTAGGAATAAACCTCGCAGAAATTTGCAAAATATGGCCGACATTCCTGGAAGGTGTGTAGGATTCAAATTTTCTGCCCTTAATTATTTCCTATTTGCAAATTCACACAATAACCCCTCTTTTCACTGAGTGAAATGTGACTCATTCATCAGATGTATTAAGAAATTCGAAAAGAGTTAAAAAAGTAAAATAAAAGAATCATCGAAGATTATCTGACACAGAAGAAAGAGTCAGGATTGGGGAGATTGCTCAATGAGCGAAGGGTTTAGATATTCAACATTGACATAAAAAAACAGAGACAGTAAGACATAGCTCTATTCCCAGCCCTGAGGATTCAGAAGGATCCCAAAGTTTGTTGGGATGCTAGCTAGCTGAATTCATGAGCCCTAGATTCCATAAGACACCCTGTCTCAAAACATATGATGGAGGTTGATTGAAACCTATTAGTAACTTCTAGCTTCCATGCATGCATGTGTGTAGGCACATGCACACACACACACACATAGACACACACACATTTTCCCTACCATACAAACTCGAGAGCTAATCTAGAGAAATAGCTTCTAGTTACTTAAATTTTAAATGTAACATATCCATAATATTATGGGAAAGAAATAGACATCAGAGACTGGCTAGGATACCGACTCACAACTGTCTGGAATGAATGAATTAATAGAAAGAATAATTCCTAAATTTGAGAACACCTAAAGAAGTTAGAAATTCAAAATGCGAAAGAGACAAAAGTGGTAGAATTATAAAATGTGAAAAGACAATGCCTAAGAGCCAAACAAATACTTTAACTTCATAAATATTTGAAAACAAAATAGAAAACAGTGTTCTTAAAATACATGCTATCCAGGAATGATTTTTCAACATTTAGTTTTACAAAGTTATTATAGTAAGATATTTAAGGTACACATGAAACTCAAATTTTCTCCTTTGAATGATAAAAGTCTCTAAAAAAATCTAGTTATTGATTGTGTTATACATTTAAATAAAATAAAATTACATAAGAAAAATATTTTGAAGGTCTTATCAGTACTAAGTGATATACTTAAAGTTTCACACATACCAAGCAAGTATTACTCAGCTACAAAACAGCCCTCTTTTTCACATTTTATTTTGAGAAAGAACTTCACTAAGTTGTCAGCCTTGCTTTCACTTTGTGATCTTTCTAGTTCAGCTTCCTGAGTAGCTTAGATTAAAGTTCTTGTCACCAAAGCCAGTTCAGAGGCCTTTCTACACTATCCCTAAAGACATGGAAAAATTTCAATGATTTCAAAGTATCAAAATGCACTCTTAATTGAAGATACAATGCTTTATAATTGAGAGTTGGATAGAAATTAAATCTGATGGTTTTATTTTTTAGTAAATGAGGCGTCTGACATTCTTAGAACAAGGTCAGAGAAACAAAGGCAAAGGGAGGAGGCTCTCATTATCCCAGAAGACAAGAATTCTGAGTGGAAACAGGCAGACAGGTTTCATCCTGCATACTGATCTGAGACTATTAGTTGTGATGGTTTGGAAGGTTTTTCTGAAAGGACCTGAAGATTTCGTCTCAACTCAGTAATGTGTCATAATCAGTTAGCAGTTTCATCTTTGGATGACAGAGTATGCAATGGCTACCTGGCCGCCTTCCTGTGTTTCTCAAAATCCCTTATACGTTTGGAGTCTAAGTTTCCTCCAGATGAGATGGTGGCATTAAAGAAATAATATACATATGTAACTGTCTATATGTAAAGACAGTAGTTATTACCTTCAAAGACATGACAGTCTAGTGATAGATTAAAAAGTGAGAATGGGATGTGAATAATATTTACATTTATTATCACAGTGAAAAACACAGAACTCTGGTGATGTCAAAACTAGAGGGAATTTTCTAGTGCAGGAACATCTTGAGAAAGAAGACTTAAAGAATAAGTCAGCCTATCCATGCCATGTGATCAAAGGTGACTAGTGATGGGCGAAGGATGTGTAAAGCCCTAAAATGATAGGGTGACAGTGTGGTTAATTCAAACATGCTAAAGAAAAGGAATGTTCTCGATTAGGCGGGTAGATGAGAGAAGGGGTGAAATGGATAAGAAATGGAGACGGAAATAATCCAGTAATACCAGAATGTTTCGGACTGTAGATGGTTCCACCTCTACTAAGGATTTGAGACTTTCTTGGATGGGGGTAGGGCTTTGAAATCATAGTCCCTCTGAGAACTCTTACATGAGACCTGGCTTCCAGAACAATCAAGGAGATGTTCAGTATAAGGTTCCAGCACAACCATCAATTCTGTCATCTGGTACATTATATGCATATCTTCCCCTCATCCTTGGGTATACATCAATTCAGCCTGACGAATAGTGTTGCTTTCAGTAAGTGTCACTGGTACTAGGAGACTTTCCGAGATTTTCTTTCTACTTAATCTTGACCATCTACAAGTAGTTTTGATTCCTTTCATAGTCTTCCTTCCATACACTTCCCTGCAAGCATATCCACCTGTCCCAGCCCTTCTGTTCTCCAGTTTCATTGAGAACCTTTCATTAAGCCTTTCAGTCCCTGCTGTGTGTATCCAATCTAGGTTGGATGCAGTCACCTTAATGAAACACCATTGTATCAATATCCTTTATCTTCTTTGTGCTTTTGTTTTTCTTTCATACCGATTGCCTACATACACCACAACCTTAGACTAAGCCAGCACTCCTTTCCTATTCTTGCACTGGTCTGCAGAGAAAAGTCGCAGAGGCAGATATAGTATAGGCATGAGTTAAACGGATAGTTGTTTTCTTAAGAGTCAATGATTAAATACGTATGGATCCACCACCTTGAGTTGTAATCTCCACGACTGACTCAGAATGACCCTCGTCACTTTTTCCTGTGTAATTTCCCAGTATTCTATAAATAGATCAAGCCGTGGTAGAGTATGTGGAATTTTACAGTGGCACTTGGCTGGAGGAATGCGACTGACTCTTTGTCATTGTCTTGTGATAAAAAAAAGTCTATTTTTTTTCTTGAATGAATTCACATTTGTCCTAATCAATATATGCTCCCCCTTTCAAATTTCAATGATATGAGTTTGATTTGGCTACCACCCAGGATAACCCCTAGTAAATTATGTTCTATACTTTTATATATCTTTGCCATTCCTCTCTCTTGTGGAGTTTCCATATAATAGAGCCTGTTTTTTTCTGCAAGAAATATGCAGGAATTTTTTGAGTCGCTACTAAAATAATCTAGCTACTATAACCATGTCAGGAGTGTTTCCACCACAAAATTGAAAACTACTGTAAGTCCCGGAATTAGCCTGTTCACTTGCCAAATTGACAATTTATCAATATAGCACAGTCATTCTCCCAAATAACAAATATCTCTGCTGTGTGTAGGACTTAAATGTTGAAACACTGGCAGGAACTGGTCCTGTAGACGTGACCCACCTATTATGTACTGCTACTGAACATTCTGAGCAAATAAATAAGTCCCCGGAGGTAGCAATTGGTTACCTCAGTCAAAGATAAACAATACCAATACCTCAGTCAAAGATAAAAAATACCACAGGTTTTGTAAACTAAATTATAAACATCTTAAACTTTGTTCTTCCTGTTCCCCTCCCTCTTCTCCCTTGTTTAGATAAACTTCCATCAGTCTGGTTGATCACCATGATGCCTTCATACCTCCAAAACCTCCAAAAAGTACGTTATCTGTACAGCCTTTGCATACTCTGCAGTGATTACACTTTAGTAAAATGGTTCATATGCTCACCTTCCCACCTTAATATCTTACTACACTCTATGTTCCTGGAGAGCAGGCTTGAGTGAGGGGCCACTGTTTTCTTTCCCGGGGTCTTCCCTACACTCGATATAAATCAAGAAAGAGTACAATTCCAAAGCCGCTACTTTATTTACATCAAGCATGCATGTTAGCATCTATGATGCAAAGGAGCATACGCTCCTGCATGGAAATAGAAAATATGAAGCCTACTCGTGAAAACTCACAAGGTAGACATCTAACATGAGGGTCTATTATAGAACATGGATACAATTCTAGGGGTAAAAACTGTGGAGCCAGTTCAATCTTAATAATACTACTCTCTCAAGTTGATTCCATTACCCTGGCTTTAAGCATATATGTTTTTATTTTTAGAATATAATGAAAACTCACATTCCTTGGAGCCGAGAATACATTTGGAAAGCCAGATGAGAAAAGTCTAGAGTAGAAGTTGGATTGGTTTATGGTTGGCAGTGCTGGAGGTGGTCATGAGACTCACAGCATGTAACAGAAAACAGGATGCCTCATAAGATATCTCAGGAGGGACACGTTCATAATATGACCATCTTAATGATGGAGAGAACTTCACAGGTTTTAACAGATGGATTGGAATTTGGCAAAGAGAGATAGATGTCTCTAGTAATTTGGACATTATTTAAACAGAAACACATTCTGTACAAAGCCAATGTTGTAATAAAGAGAGAAGATTGGTCACTCCAAAGATGAAGGTACAAAAGAAAAACAATTGGAAAATACAACTAAATTTTATTTTAAATATATATATATATATATTAGACATGGATAAGCATACTGGTATTTAATCTTTTCTAATCTTTGACTTAATGTTTTTATTCTTTGATAATTTCATGTGTATACAATGTGCTTTGTTCATCTGCAGCCACTATGAGCAATCTTCCAGTGCTCACAATCTCAAAAGCAAAATGACTCTCCCTTCGCAGAAAGCCATCAACTAATAAAAGCTCCTTAGTTAGGAGTGGGGCCTCCTGAACCTCTCCCT